GCTTTTTAGAAGAGTGAGGCAAAAAAAGAGACAAGAATTAGGATGAGTGAAAAAAAGTGGGGGCTTTTGCCTCATCAGAAAGTTACTGAGAGGTATGGAAGCCGGCAGGCCTTTTTCAGAGAAACGCCCTCTCCCAAAATGTGTAAAATTGAGCTGGCAGAACAGCATATCTGTGTTCCTATACTGTCATAAAATGGATATTAACTTCCCTGCTTACAGATGTCCTCATCTTCCTCCCTTTTCTGCTTCATGGACATTCCCAGCCTCCTTACATTCTCATGTGCTCTGTTGGCATCTATGTCTGCACTGCAGAACTATTGGTCCAGTCCTTGCAAAATACCCCAACTGGTGAGATGCATGCTTCCATAGGACCCTGCTTGTCAGCCAGGGAGTTATACTGAAAATATTCATTAACTGAACATTATTCAGTCCCTGCAGCAGTTTTACACTATTTAATTCTGTGGTCATGGGTAGTTCTGGTAACTCCAGGAATAGAACCACCACCCCCTCACAGAAAATGGATTGTTTGACATCTTTATTAGCTTCACCCCTTGTTCTGTGGAGATGACAGCCAGTTACCTACTCTGGCATGACTAGAGAAAAGTAGGTAGAAGGAAAGCACAGCTGACAGCATCTTGCAGGTCTGTGATGATAAATCAGCATCAGAGCCACGTGCCCTCTCGATGAGGACGGGATGTAGAGGTAGAGTCGTGACAGTATGTTCTGAGGTGTCCCTGTGGTTCTCCCAGCTTGCTCTCTCAATGTTTCATCTCAGGTTATTAGTATTTATAAAAGCATGCCCTTAAAATAGCTTCATGGTATTAATAGAAGCAAAAATAGCAGTTCCTGCACTTAAGTTGTTCGTAGCGGGGTAAAGTAGGGCTAAATTGGGCAAGAACAGCAATCATAACAGCACAGCCCGGTTTAGGGGTGACTTTCAAATCCCCTTCATGTCTTAAAAATCACTGACTTTATAAGCTAAAATTTACACCGGGATACATTCCTTCCTGCTTTACAGAAAACCCTTCTCCCTTTAAGAGGTGTAAGGTTTGGGGTGACTTTTGCTTAAAGACTGCTTGAATCTACTCTCTAAGTCTTCCACTCAGAAGTGGAGCAGCCACAAAATTATCCAACTTCTAAAAACACATTTCAGAAAAATCTTTCAGATTTGCATTTGAAATATGTAAAATAGATATGTGGACTGTAAAATAGATCCTGTTGTGGGACGACCCTAGGTGCCCACCAAAGCTGCCCTGTCACTTCCCTTCTCAACTGGATAGGGAGGGGAGAGAAAATATTATGAAAGACCAATCGCCATCATGAGCCAAACAGACCCCTCTTGGGGAAATCAGTTTATCACCAATAAAATCAGAGTAGAATAATGAGAAAATAAAATCTAAGCCTTAAAACTCCTTCCCACCACCCCTCCCTCCTTCACTCTGATCCATCTCCTCCCCTCAAGTGTCTCAGGGGGATGGGAATGGGGGCTGTGGTCAGTTCATCACTGATTTATTGCCTGTGCCACTCCCTCCTCCCCAGTGGGAGGACTCTTCATGCTCCCTGCTCCAGTGTGGAGTCCCTCCCTTGGGATAGAGTAGGGGCAGAACTCTCACACCATGGCCTGAACCTGCTCGTGCTGCAGCTCCTGGGGCACCTCCTGCCCCTCCTTCTGCCCTGACCTTGGCATCTGTGCAATGGCTTCTCTCACAGGTTCTCTCTTCAGCTGCAGCTTCAGAAAGACTTGAAAAGAAAAATTATTCACCATCTATAGATTATGGAGAGGGGAGCATAAGAGGCATTGCATTTATTTTCCTAATTTTTAAGAAAATTATTTCTTAAATAGGCACAGCAGTCTGCATGTGTCTGTCTATTGCAGGCACAGTGGATCAATGACCTTCTGGCACCAAAACTGATAAACTGTTAGCTGCTCTTCTCTAGATAGTGTTGACCATGCTTCACTGAGAAATCCATGTCTTTTTCTTATTTTTCAAATTCTCTGTATTTCTGTTAGTAGATTATTGCCAGATGAGCCACAGACAATATTTGAAGTAACATACTGCATGTTCTAGGACAAGACAAGGAAACACAGACTATTACCAGTGTGTCCAAATTCCAGCCTCACTTGACACTGGAGTCAGTCTCAATCACATCAGTGAAGTATAAATGAAGCTCTGGAGAAAGAAGAAAAAATTAGTTACTTTATCATGCCTTGGCACAATTAAAAGTAGTTTTAAAAATTGATAATCTGAATAACTTTATCATCAGCTCTTTCAAGACTGATATTTTTCCTGTAGTAAACTACTAATTATCTGGAGAGACTGCAATATATTTTTTTTAATAGGCTGGTTTCTTATTTGCAATATGTTAATATTTCTTACAAGTGTTGTTTCAGAAAGGAAACCTCACAGTAACAAAACTGGGAGCTTTTCCCATTTTGTTTTATCTAAAATTTGCAGTTGCTTTAGACAAAAATGTTAGTCTGTTTTGCTGATTTCTTATTTGCCAATGCTAAAACAATATCCCATGTAAACTGCAGAGGCTGACAAATTAATTTTTGTGGTTTAATATCAGGCAAATAAATCTTACCATTACTAATTATTTTTTGACCTTGCATAAGAGAATAGGATTAGACTGACTACAACTGACACTGATTATATGAGACAGGATGTTATTAAATCCCTTTGGGGAGCTTTTGAAAGATCCACCACATTTAGAAAAGAGAGCTTTTCTCTGTCTTAGCTCATTTATGGAGCAATTACATGTGACTTACTACAAAAATGATGACAGGAAACACACTGAACAAACAGCTAAAGTGGAATTTACACCACTCCCATCTCTGTCAAAACATCTCACTGCCTTAAAAAATTTTGTCAAGGTTACCTATAGCAAAGCCATTTTCTACATATCAGCAAAAGGTGTGAGATATATTGGATTAAGACTACATGGAGGAGAACTTGTAATGGATATGAAGGCAGCAGAGGTTTCTCAGTGCTCAAATGGCTTCTTTGCACCAGGAGCCCAAATTTAATTAATTTTGCAGGCTTGAAGAGCCTAATGTTTTCATTTATGCCACCTCAGGATTTTCAAGTTTTGTTTTTCATTAGAACACTCCTATAGAGGGTTTCTTAGTGGAGTGCAGAGAAATATGCAAAATGTACTGACTTGGAAAACCTCTGCTTATTCTGGAAAAACCTGTTGGCTAAATTTCCTGTTTTGTTTGATTGGCATTTTTTTTTCAATATTAAGATTGCTCAAGTGATTTTTAAGAGTAGTTTACAATTTTGTACCTAAAAGTATGCAAATACAAAATGGAGGTCTAGGTAAAGACCATTTCCATAACTGTTTTTCTACAACTGACTGCTTTCCTAATATCCATAGCTGAGAATGAAAATGCACAGTAAAGTGCTACAGAACTGTGTGTATTAAATGTGTACATACTTATTGATTATGACATTTACAGTTTGAAAACATTAAAAAAGCTGTTAAAAATGTATAATCCAAAGTCATACTGACAGTTCACTGCAGAACCAACAGTACTGAGGTGTTATATTGCAAAAATTTATTCTCACCTCTGGTTTGATTTCAAAGTTGATATTGCTGTAAATTCATGTGATGACAACACTTAATACTTAAGCCCTAACATTTTTTTTTTGTCTTCCTTGTATGTCTTCACATACTAAATCCAAGTCCAATATGGAAGAAGTTAAAAGATACTTAAATGTTTTTTCCTTAGGTACAGCTCAGTGGTGTAAGTAAAGCAACATGCTGGCATTCACTTACAGCTTTTCCTCAGGGTGTCTCAAAGACCATCATCTTGCTGCCAGCAGTCCTTGACATGAAGCCAAACCTAGGGCAGACTTAGAGCAGTGGCAAGAGCCTCAGCAGGGTTTTCCTTTCCCATGAACACTAAGATTCTCTGCTGCTCTCTGCAGCACTCCTGAAATATGTCATGTATGTAAAGGTGTGTTCATCTTTACATGTGTTACACAGAAGGTCCCTACTTTGCAGTAACCACTGGTAATTGATGGATAATACTGGAGGGTAGGATTTTCTGCATGTGTAGTGATCACTGACCACAGGGAAAGTTTATGCAAAGATTCTGCTTCATAAATATAGATATGCTTGCAACAGGAAAAACTGATTTTTACTGAGTTTGTCCTTCAAGGAATGTTATGTTGTATTTCTAATATTGAAAATGAATAAAGCGATACTGTATGAGGTGTTCTGCATGGCCAAATATTGTAGTCCTTACTCAGAATTTACTCAGGAAAAACCACCTTTGACCTCTGTGAGGATTTGCTTGACTAAGGACTGCACAGACTGTTGCGAATCTCACCAGCATTGCTTGATGCTAATGTTGGGCAACAGTTCTCATTGCTAATTTGCCTGCCTCGTCCTTCTCCTGGGCTCAGGATCTGCTTTTGCTGTGTGTTATTCATAGCTTCTCTTGCTAGTTCAGATTGCTTCTCTTTGTGCTTTTCTTTCCCAGCAAATGTTTTGCAGCTATTGTTCTGCTGCTGGTAGATGAGCACAGAACCTGGTATACAGGACTTGAACCTCAGCCCAGATTCAATTAACACTGTTAAAAATGTTCTCACTATGGTGCTCAGAAGAAATTTTGATGACCCTCTTTCAGTGAAGCACAAATTTGTTTAAGCTGATGTTTTCAGAATGCAAAAATATAAGGGCTTGATTCACAAATCTTAAGACCAAATGCTTCTGCATTGAAATAGGTGGAGTAGCACCCATTTAGAGCCATCAAAAGGTCAATTGTAAATGCTTATTCTGCCCTACAAAATTCAGCCAAGTTACTAAATATGTGTGCTGTAGCATCACTCTGTTTTGTAATTTTAACACTGCTTTAAAGTAAGATATCCTGAACAATAATTAGTACCAAATTATGCTGTAGCCTTCTGATACAAAGCAAATCTAGCTGGGTTATCACTCTTATGTCTTATGAGCCATACCTAGCCATGGTTTATCCTCTATTCATGCTACAGGGTACGAAATTCCTGGGTGCCAACCTGCCTATGGCAACCTAGAATTCTCCAGGGCAGGCTCGCAAAATCTTCACCTACTCTCTGGGACAGGTAACTAATAAGTGATGTTTTGTGAGTTATGCTTTCTTTCTAACTTTCTGATGTCCGTAAAAATGTTTCATTTCTTCATGTTAGTCTGTGCTCTCTCATTGTTCAGCTCCACTGTGTTTTCTGGGTTAGGGATGTAACAGCAGACCTGTTTGTTATAGTGCTCTAGATGCTTGCCTCAGCCAAGCCTGTAATAATTGTTACTATCTTGCATAAAACCTGAAAGCTGTTTAAGAAGCTGCAAAATCCACAGCTGCCTGCTACCAGTGAATCTCTTTTTCTGATGGAGTAGTTTGACAATGCAGGTGCATTACATTTCACTGTTGGTACACAGTTATCTGGGCAGTTCACCCTCCTTTCTTAATTGCTGGTATGTATATACATTCTCTTTCCTTTATCAGGTTTACATTAATCTTGAGTCTCCTGAACTAAGGATTTTTTCAATGTTATAAGTACAGTACACTCAAAGGATGGGGGAGTTATAACTGATTCTGGTTTACATTTCTTTGCAGCATGTAGTATAAGTTTAAGTAATGACTCAGTTTTCTGTATTCTGCTTAAATTATTTTCAACTTTTTTCCTGAATTCACTGTCCATTCTTTTTGCTTGACTTTATTTCAAGTGGCAGGTATGTAGAAGAAATTCATTCACTAGTCCTATACCTTTCAGTGACATATGAAATACTGTAATATATTTCAAAGTAAAAAAGTGATTAGGTTAAAAAAATAAAGACAGAGTAAGCTTCAGATTGGTTCATGCAGTCTATTGATTTTCTCTAAATATAAGATGATAATGTGTGACACATTTCATCTAAGGAGTGCTGATAGTGTAAGAAAGACATAAGTGAGATTCTTTTTGATTTTTTTTTTCACACGGTCTACACTCTGTGTAGTAAAAAAACCCCAGCAATCTTGGAAAAGTGGTTTGAATTCCTGCTTTTCATTCCCCTGGGATTCTGCAGGTACACTCTACTCTTACCTGGGTTTAGAAGATCTTAATGCAAAAATAGCTTTGCTCTGCTGCTTGTTCTTGCTAAAATCAAGAGATGACCAGTGAAGTAAAACACAATCCAGGCATAAAAAACTCTTTTACAAAATGTTCAACCCTAATTCCAACTTGGTTGAATATTTGGAAGTCCTTTAAAATCGGAAGAAATTCACACATCCATGGTGTAATCACTGATTTCGATCTTACATTCTGTTTTAAAATGGATGTCTACATGGAATTTCTGAGTCTTGGGATGATATTTAGTTGTCCTTCCATAGGGCTCACTAAAAATAATTTTTTTTTCCTACAGCCACAGACTACTTGTAGTTTTACTTATGGAATAAAAAAAGCTTACTCTTGTAGAGGACAATACCACAGTTTATGTCCAAGTAATACAACTTAAAATGCACAAATCCAAACTTTTAGCTCAACCTATTTACCCATTTCATTAAAAAAAAAAAATGAATTGCCATTGAAAGATAATTTTCCTACATGCTTTTTGAAAAGCTCACAAGGATCTAAATTTTTAGAGACATTTTTGTATTTCCTGAAAGCTGGCTTGTTTCTTTCCTCTAGAGTAACTCAGATCTTAATATCAGTGTTTCAGCATATCCAGACTGTAAAACAATATCTGGAAACTTGCTTTCTAGTTATATTGAAAAATAGCACCTTACTGAAGGAACTAATAAAAATCCCAAACGTTTGTTTGGTACAATGAAAAAATAGTGAGTATGACAAGTGTCAGTATTTACAAAATGAGGATAGGTTCTATTTTATCCAGCCTGATGCACCTTAACCTTTAAAAACTAATGAGAAAGCAGTAACAGTATCAGCAAGAGATTTCTAGTAAAAACCTAAGTTTTGGTTGACCCAGAATGCTATAGTTCAGTTATAACATGCCAAAAAAAAATAAAAATTATGGCCTGTGTTTATATAATCCACATCTCAAGGCACAAGAGGAATTTTTGGGAAATCTGAAGTAGTGAATCTGCTTCCTCACTCTGTACAGGTCCTTGAGGTGCAACATCTGCCAGGGTGAGGAATCAAAGGGCTCTTGGGTCCCCTCTGAAGGAGCACATTTTGCAGTGCTTTTCACAGGAAGAGTGTGAGCAGCTTTTCCATGAACACCTGCTGGCTGAATTTGACCCTCTAAATCTGCAGAGAGATCCTTCATTTGCTGGCTCACTCCAAAAACTACCCAAAAGCCGGTGTCAAGGTGCAGGGCTGGTAACAAGAGTTTGGGGGCATGCAGTCCTGTTCCAACTTTCTCTGTTCTCCTTTCCCATACAGCCACAAAAAATAAAGGTGACAAATCATAGTCTTACACTGAAAAGCCAGAGCAGCCAGGGGAGCAGGATAAAATACTGAACTAATAAATTATGGCATTCAGCTGGGAGGGAAGTTGTGTGAAATGATGGCACAACATGCTGAGCCTTGGGGAACTTGCTAGAGGTGAACTCATTTATACTCTTGCAGAGTAGAAGACTTCTCAGTTAACAAGTCCCAAAATAGTGTGCTGCAGTATAAAACAAGGTAGGGCTTGAAATAATTAGCCACAGATGACAGATGGCAACTCCTTTCTCTTTCTTTCCTTCTTTTCTTGTGCTGCAATATCAAGTTGATCAAAGAGCTGAGGATCATTTGTTATTGTAGGAAAACTAAAAATATCTTGAAATATTCCAGCAAAATAAGTTCATTCAGGTACGAGCCAGTAGCTCTCATTGTTCAACACTTTGTACATGAGTCTATGTGTAGTAATAGTTTCCCTCAGGATCTGAATTACATGTGCACAGCTGAGAATTTGGGTGTGTCCTGGCTTAGGAGTATTATTTAATCAATCTATTATATCAAATTGCTAATTTATTTAATGTAATTGCTTTCTTGTGTTAACAAACTAATGATCTATTTTACTGCCAGAAAGCCCTCCAGAAAAGTGTCCAGGGCTCACCCCTCTGGCAGGACACTTGGGCAATGTCACAGAGGGACTGTGTGTGAGGAGACAAGTGCCAGGGAGCAGAGGCTGCAGCAGAACTGACTGCACCCATCCCCTCTGGAGGTGTCTGCAGAGGCAGCATTTCCTCCTGGGCTCTTTAGGAGTAATATCTGGCAAGGATGGGCACTGTTCTAAAGGCAAACACCTATGGATTCAAGATAGAGACACAACAGGAGCTTCTGTCTGGCATGACTTCTGTCACAAAAGAGGATCAGAACACAACTGTAACAGATATAGTCAAAAGGAGAATGCAGTAATTTGCTCAAATAATTTAATATACACTGCTCATAAAGGAAAAAAGCCATAACATCTCCAGTCCCAGTAGTAATTCCGTCTGACTGGTTCATGAGCCAGAAGAGTATATTTGATTTTTTCAGCTGCTTAGCATAACCTTTCTGATGAAAGTGTTAGGCCAACATACCTAAATGAGTCCCTTGAGCAAGACAAAGATGAATTTCAAATCAGAGGAAAGAGAAAAGGATTGGGAAAGGAAGGAAATAGTGTAGATGAGAGCAGAGATTATAACCTCTGTCCGTTAACCTGTGTCTGGGTGTTTTACACCAAATAAAATAGGAACAAAATTCTATCCCTACTGCTAAAGCACATTTCTCCAGTATTCCCCTACCATACTTCCAACCTCAGTCCTTTAATAGAAAGAGTAAGATCAATTTCAAATTGCTTCTGGCCTGTGGGCTTCACCCAATCTCATTACATTCCTATTACACATAAAGTGCACAATTCAGGAGGAACCACACTTCTGTTCCAGCACAGCTTGATCCAGATGAATCGGGGAAATAAACAGACGAAAACAAAAGTGAGAAAGGTTTAATAACACAATTAAAATATAGCTTTATAAGCTTGTGAGCTGATGTGGCAGGCTGCTCTCAGTAATTTCCAGAGGGAGTGCTTATCCATGACTACAAACCAAAGCAATCTAGAAGCTGGCCACTCAAAGCTGTAAGGAGAGCTACTGCAACTGAAGGCAGCCTGCTTAATCATCTGGAGAGCTCTCTTTAGCTTTCTAATCACAAATTGAAGTCTACCTCTAATTTTGCTTCCTCAATTTTTCAATACCTTACTATTTTTTTCCCCTTTCTTATCACCTCTTGGTAGTCTGGATTCCCTGGTGAGATGCAATGCAGACGGGTAGGACTCTGACAGACATTAAAAAGCAGACAACAACTGCTCAACAACTTCAAATAACTTTCTGTCTGAGCCAACCCCCCCCTGCTCAGTGGCCTGGGTTACATCATATTTGTTGCAGTCAGCCTTTGCTGCTGGTTTTCTTACCCTTTTGAACCCTGCAACTTTACACTGCAACTCACGATTTCTGCTGCCCAAACATTTTGTGCAAGCTTATCAGCCTCTGGGAAGCCAGGAAATAGCAGCTCTTACAGGGGTGAACCTTCTTCCAGACTCATGGGATCAGCAGAGTCTGGACAGAAAGCAGTGAAGATCCCTTAATCCCTAGGAAGGGTCAGGTTCATTCTGATTTTGCTCTCTTGCACAAATGCTGTCTGAAGTTTGCCACACCAGAAGTTTCCTTCCTTCTCTCCCAGTTTAACCAGATGATTCATTTCAGATGTTCTCCAAGCACTAGGCAACATTTGAATAATGCAGAGAATATGAAGCAGGGCACAAACATGAACGGAGCCCTTCATTATGGTAAGAAAATAAACATGTCCTTGCTACCTCTAGAGAACAAGCCAGAAAGCATTTATTCCTTCTGGAATCCCATGCTGGTTTTCTTCTCTTGAACCCATATTTCCAGCTCTCCATCCCTTCATTTTCTAGCAATACAGAGAAACAAATTGAACAGACACAGTCCTTATTAACTTTTTTAGGGTTACTTACTGAGCCTAAAGGTTTCCATTTAAGCCACTGCTACTAAGAGTTTACCTGCCAGAGCTGAAAACAATTAGTTTCCCCTTCAAGGAGCGCCTAACAGGGGCACTAGGAGGCAACTTGGAAGAAGGCAAAGATCATAGTAACAACTTCTGCTGCTTCCACTCTTTCCCTCTGC